CAAGCACATTTGAACAGTTTTTGAGTGTAGGAAAAAAAACGTTGCTTTTGTTTACTTTGGAAATAGTTGTCAGTATTAGTGCAAATAAATGGTGTGCAGTTAATGGGCTAAAACACGCCAAGCCACTGGTCTGGTGCTAAGGCTTTAGGCTCATATCAGACTGAGTCTTCTGCCTGCTTGCTGCGTCGAGACTAAATATTTTATCCGTCAGAATATCATGTGCAGATTTGTTGGATTTGTGGTGACCCTTGTGTCTACATTTGGACCACAGATTGGACTGTTACTGAGGAAAAAAATGCTTTACAGTCTGCAAAACCCATTACAAATAGACATCATTTCGATTTAATTTATAACATTTATAACATTCCCTGCAACCAAAACAAAACAAAAAACAAAATGAATTTTTTCTTTTTTTTTCTTTTTTTCTAACCCTAACCCTAAGACTCTTGGGAAACCTTTCCTCCAAGACTGGAGTTACCCTTAATTTGGGTTTTAATTCGTGACACATGCTTATCAAATACATTACTTTTACATTACTCTTTGTCCTCTGCTCTTTTGCCAGCAGCTTTTTTCTCAGTCAGGGGTGATTTCTGATAATAATTTGGAGCCGTCACATCTAAATCACTGCTCTTAGCTCATATCCCTACATCCACAGCTATTTGATCACCTTTTATTTGACCACAAATGCTTAACTTTTCTAAAGAAAGACAATTGACAGCATAATACCGTTGTTCAGGTGATGGTTTATCTGATAAATACATGACCTGGGTGTAAACTCAGATTTTTGTATTTGTTGAGAGCAGGTATAATTATTACTTTTCACATTCAACACAGCTACAAAACCAGTAATGTGTGTGAATATAAATGAACATTTTTGGGACATGACATTTTAAGTCAGCATTAACTTTAGAAATCAGGTCAGATACGCTGGTACTTGGTGGCCCTACTAATCTTAAACATGAGAGCTTATCAGACATGGGGTCTCTCCTTAGGCGGTCCAAGCTAGCCTGGAGGAAAAGCTCCATCCACTCAAATGCTTTTGGCATTTCCTGTAGCTTCATTCAGGGCAAAAGTCTGGCTTGTAGCACTAAGAAGGCTGTGTGCTTAAGGCAGATTTAGCTTCAGAGGCTTCAACTAACTTATCCTGCAGTTTTAACTCTGCTTCATTCAAAAAAACATTCTAATCTGATGATAACAACCAGGAGACTTAGCATCAGCCTATGCAGAAACTAATATTCTATTTACCTTCGCCACATAACTTAACTTTCTACCCCAGTATTTTGTCTGTATCAAAGTTTATGCAATTTCTCCAGAGTATTGGTAAAGAATGATTAACGTCTTTAGTTGCTTCTTATTTTAGAACAGAGGAATTTGTTCTCATGGCTTGTATCCAGATATTCCTCAGATGGCAAAGCAGAAAAATAGTCCTAACACATGGTGCACTGTGTGTCAGATCCTGGTTTGGAAAAGGAGAACAGCACAGAAGGGAGAAATGAGGGAAAAAGTGCCGCTTATGATACCGAATCAAACCCAGCCATTTCCTGTTCCCCGAGCCAGAGCTGCTCAGCACTCTCCATATATGGTAATGGTATTTGGAGGGAAACCTTTGGCTTATGGATCAGGACTGGTATTGAAATTCCTTTGTGTTTCTGGGAAAATGTCCGGTCCAAGAGTTTGGTTTGAATGTCTTTGATTTAAAAAAGAAAAAAAGAAAAACTAATCAGGTCTCATACCTCCATAGATACCTTTTGTTGAAGCATTTTAAGGATATCATTTTGTTCAAACATCTTATTAACACAATATATTAATGATGACAGACGCTCAGTTGTGTGGTGTCATGCTCAGGAGGAAGTCTGTGGCTCCTTGTTGTTGTTGTTGTTGTTGTTGTTGTTGTTATGGCCACCATAGATGTGCCAGATGTCCCTCGTGTATGTGTTTACTGTATGACGCCTCCTCCACAGGCCTTCAGTAACTCATATTTCAATCTGATGGGATGTCTTATCCTTCACCCTCTAAAAAACGGATTGTGTTGTTGTTTGTTTGAGTTGTTCCAGCATTTACATTAAGAGTTACAGCTCAAAACTTGGAACAGAACAGAAGAGATCTTTGCATGGGAAGTGACCCTCCACCCCTATTACAATCACTGCAGTAGAGACCCTCAACCCCTGGCAGCTATTACTGCTTGGCAGCCAGCGGCAGAGCAGAGGTTGTTTCAGGCACCTCCCTGACGGCATTGTGTGTGTGTACTGTAAGTGTACTGTGTGTGTGTGTGTGTGTGTGTGTGTGTGTGTGTGTGTGTGTGTGTGTGTGTGTGTGTGTGTGTGTGTGTGTGTGTGTGTGTGTGTGTGTGTGTGTGTGTGTGTGTGTGTGTGTGTGTGTGTGTGTGTGTACTGTATTTGTGCAGCTACTCCCTTGGTCTGCTGCTGTAAGTGAGAATATTTTCTTATTCCTCTTGCCTCATTAAACAAGGCCTAAAACAAAACAGATGAAGCAATCCTGAGAATATTTGACGCCTACCTCCTACGTCTCCGGCTTATTACCTCTCCCTTCTTGAATCTGCACACTATCATTCCAGACATAGCAGACAAAGGTTAAATATAGCATGTTCAATTGTTTTCACTTTGTGGCCAGCACTCGCTCTTGACTTCTGCTTTAAAAGAAAAAAAAATGAATATGTCAAAGTACTTATTCTATTAAGAAGGTGGCACCGAAAGGATAGCTGGTAATTTCCTAAATAAAAAAGAGTGTTTAAGTTTATTATCTTATACAAAGAACAATGAATACAGGCTCCATCTCTATATCCATTTTCTTCAGTCCTAATACTTTAACATTTTGCACTCTTTTACACTTTATATTTTCTTAATACATGTATGTGATGTTGTTTTATCTCCATTATCAACTATTAAACGAATTATCCTCCTTTTTTCCAAGGTTTCTCACTTACTTTAAAAAGTTTTCCCTTCTCCAAATCAAGGATCTTAAGTTTTGTCACTTGTGACAAATTTGTTCTTCAGGGTTTTAAAAACAAATTTGAATTGACTAGAAGGCTAGTTTGTGTCTTTTTTCCTTTCCTCCCTTTCTTCACAACATTGATTTGCAACTCAAACTTCTATCAAATGTTTGGATTCGACTCAATGTCAGGTGGTGCTTTTGTCCCTGAGAGTGACGTCAGCCCGTCTTTGTTGCTAAGGAAGGAAATAGATCAGCATCTCCCTCTGCCACACCTCAAAAGCAGTAAAACCTGGTAATGGGTGTGATCTGGAGAATTAATCAAGCTATAATTTGCTGCTTCCCTCCTAAGGGAAAAATACCCACTGGATTTTGGTGAAAAAGCTGTTAACATTCTTCGTCATCTCCCATGCTATGTCTTAGTCTGTAAAGTGGTTTTAATTTTGCTGTTGTAAAGAATAAAGCGAGCCTGGAGGATATTAAAAGCTTTCTGGTAGTAAGTAATTTAGAGTTAATTACTAAATACAAAATGTCTTTCCACTGGTTTATTTTGTACTTTGTGTACACTTTGTGGATCCGGGGTTTTCTTTATGCTGTTTTAGTTTTATTGATCTAATTTTTCTGTGAGAGCAACTCACTTTAGCTTACATATGTTACTGTTTTTTTACTACTAAAGATTGTGTGTTATATTTGTGGGAGTTCAGAGTAATGTGTATATATAATGAATATTCTTGTGATATTATACGTGGTTCATTATATTTAAATCAGAAAGACTCCACCACCTTGTTGCAACTCTTGGAAATGGCATCCGAGTCCTTAAAGAGCTCTCCTGTAGCTTTTTATCGTATCACACACATGATCTTCATCAGCAAATGGGGTGGGATTGTCATTGTTTTACGCTCTTTCATGACTTTGAATGTGTGCTTGATAAGTTAAAGCTCAAGTGAATTCTTGACCTTGAATATAGCATTAGAGTAAACAATTACGTCCTCTGCGACCCGGCTCTGGATAAGCGCTTTATGATGGATGGATGCAAACAATAAAACTCATTCATACTTTGTCAGTTAAACTGTACGATGTATACGTTGGTCTCCATAGATATCTCAACATAATGTTATGGCAACCCATACAATAATAAACATTTAATAAAAAACAAAAATGTCGACCTTATGGCGGCACAATCAGGAAAACAAGGGGTTCATTACAGTTGGATTTTTAGGATTCATCCTTTGGGTAATGTGAATGTTTAAACACAATGTTAATGGAAATCAATAAAATAGTTGGAGGAACAACAGACTGACGAGAATAGCTAAAAAGATATGGGTAAATATGATTATGTTCTCAAAATCTACACTTCTGCAACATAAAATATAGTATCTTGCTGTAAAATAGGACTGACTGAATGATTTCTTAGCCTTAAAGTTATTGTTAAGATTGCCACTCTTCTCCTTCCCATACTTCCTCACTTAGGGGGGAGGAAGTCAAGAGTTAACTTGTGTGTTGACTAATGTTCTGGATTCTGTCTGCAGCTTTGAGTGGTTCTCCGTCCAGGGGAAAGAGACTCACTCCTCGCAGCACATTGTGACCCTCGTCCACAGTAGCCAGACAACACTGACTCATAGCACATGATGAATGACCTCAGTTCTCCGAAGACTCACCCAGCTGAAACAAAAAAACAGGATTAGTGAAAAACCGATTGTTAGGATGTGGATAAAAGTTGGGCAAGAGCATCTTTAACACTTGGACAAATAACCAAAGCACTACTGGGAATCTGACCTTGCAAGATTTTAAAGTAAACACAGCTCATCGTGCTGCCTGGATCAGAAAATGTGCACACTGTGAATTTTGTTGCTGTGATAATAACCATTTTCCGTTGGCTTTCATTTGTGTGATAAAACCACAAAACCTCAGCCTCTGGGTTTGCTGTAAAGCCTAAATGCACTCATGTAACAGTGCTATGTCCCCTTGATGTCAGACTCTCGATTAGTCCACGCTATCCCTTTGTGTCTTTGTGAATGAACTAACAATACATTGTATGTGTTTTGTTGCAGGGGAGCCGGGGGCACTACCGGTACCACTGGCAGAGCCACAATGTCAAACACAGCGGAGTGGATGACATGGTGCTGCTCAGCAAGATCAATGAGGATGCCATCGTGGACAACCTCAAGAAGAGATACATGGATGACTACATCTTTGTATCCTTTGCTTACAATCACAATTCACAACCCGGCGAGAAATAGCCGAGCCCCTTCTCATCCCAGCTATTCCCAGAATAGCTGAATGGTCATTCACAGTGTTTTTCTAGCAGTGAGTAATAGCTCAGTGTTCGAGGTAACGCCTTCCTCCTGAGACTCTGCCGTGTGCAGGGGGCAGAGGGCCCCTCTGTACGTACCTCCCTCCACTCCAAAGTCACACTGGCTTTATCTCACTGTGGTGCAAAATGTGAACAAAATGGTGTGAGAAATACCAGATTGCATCTCCAGTCTTTTTTAGTCTCTTTTAACCAGCAGTATTTTTTGATTATAGTGGGGATTCAAAACATTGAGCAGTAATTTTCATACAGTACATCGCACAAATGCTAGGTTTAGGTTTCTCAAGTGCAGCTGTGGCTACACACTTAAGCTGTTCATGACGCGAAATGAGTAGATTAATGGATGAATAACCCCTTTGAAAAGCAATGCTGAACTTCTCATTGCATAAACTTCATCCACGTCCTGGCACTGCACAGGATTGTGACGTTTAGTAAATGCTGGCATTTTAAGGTTCAACATCTCTGAGTCAGGCCTTTTGATTTGGGTCAATAAATAGCCGTAACTGTGAGGTCTCCATGCCAAGTCTGTGGGTCACTGTAGGCCACCCACAATGGCAGCTTTATTTTTCTTGAGCAGCATTTTGGCTGCAGGGCATAAAACCTCACAGTGTTACATGGTCGGTCTATTCTCTGTCATTTGTAAGAACTGGATACTTTTTAGCCTCAAGCCTGATCACCAAATATTCGACTGCAGCTCCATTGTACTCTGTTGACGTCAGGGCAGCCTTAGATTAAATAATTTTCCTTCATTTACAGATTTTAAATCTCTTTGTTAGTGTTATACAGATTTGTTGCCATATAAAGATAATGGTTTACAATTTATGAAAACCTTGCATTTCATAGAGGGTCATAATAAATTGGTGCTATTTGTTTTACTTCTATATTCTTTAATATATAACCTCGTCAGACATATATCGGTCCCGTGCTCATCTCCATCAACCCTTTCAAGCAGATGCCATACTTTGGAGACAAAGAAGTTGAGATGTATCAGGGCGCAGTAAGTATGATACAATTTGACAAAAACCCATAAACACATTTTAAACAGCTTCAGCTGTCTGAATTTACACCAGAAAAAACAAGTTAAATCTTTAAAAGAACCAATGTGCCCGGGGGTTTAAGACCGCAACTGTCTGAAGGACAAAAGGCTGTTCAATTCTGGGTTAGTTGCAGTGTGTAGCTTCCAGCAGAATGGCGCAGATGTTGCTGTCAGAAACTTGACTCAACCATGGAGAAAGCTTGGCAGGACCTTCACAGAACCGCCTGTCCGAGTCTGCCTCCTCTCTTGGCCGGCATGCAGAGAGTAGGCTTGTCTCCTTAAGCCAGGAACAAACTAAAAGAGAGTCTAATATTTTTACCAACTGTGAAAGCACTCAGCATCACACATGCCAACATTTAACAGTTCAACAGGTTAGAGTAAAGTGCACTGGGTTCAGGTTTGCACAGCGTTATCAGCTCACACTGCAGAAAGTTCAGATTTGTTTAGAATAGTTTGAAACCATCATGAAGGTTATAAGTCCTATGTTGTACTTATTGCATTCAGTGTAGACTTTTCACAATCTAGGAATTAAGCCATCAAGGCCAAAATGGGACCAAAACCAACCATAGATTTATCCATCTATCAATGTCTTACGACTACCATACCTAATGCAGCTGCAGTTTTTCAGAAAGGAGTGAATAGTGCATTTAGTGAGTACTATTTTTAGTGGCGGGTAAATACACATTTGGTTGACTAGTGATTATTTATGGCTGCAGGATACTGTATGTGGGATTGAGTCAAAACAAACTTCTCTGCCAATTTTCATCATATTGCAGTAACATGTCACGTGAAGTAGTGTGGCTATGTTTTATTTGTTTTCTGAGAACATAGCACTTTGGCACATAAAGAATAAGCTTTATTAGATTAGAAAAGAGAATACTACATGAAGTAGAAAAGTAGAGATGTTTTAACAATAAGAAAAGCTATTAAATATCCCCAGATGTATACTTTTAAAGTGTTGTTGGCTTTATTTTAACAAAATTATTTTGTGAACTCTCAGGCTCAGTATGAGAACCCGCCTCACATCTACGCCCTGGCAGATAACATGTACAGAAACATGATGATTGACAGCGAGAACCAATGTGTCATCATCAGGTAAGACCTTTAATCATTTATCATCCTCCACTTTCGTTACACATCATGAACTAATGGCATGTGACAATACAAATTCATGTAGTTCTCATTTTGTTACCGCAGTGAGACTGGAGATAGTAATCTGTACAAAGTGATCTGTGCGATGTGAAAGCTGCAGCTGATCGTCCGCAGGCTGTGATAATAGTTATTAGGATGGGAACATGGGAAGGGAGCAGGTTAAACCACATCATTTGGTACAGCTGACTGAGAGTGACATGTTTCTTTGGTGTTTTTCCATTATATATATATCTCACTATAAGCTTTAGTGAAACGTAGGAATGCACTACAGAAGTAAGTGAAAACTGTGCACTGTTGACTGCTGGATCTGGACTCAGGATGTGAGATGGGAACAAAGCAGCTGTTATTGTGGCTATTTTTGAAAAAACTTCCTGGTTTAACAAGAACAAAAAACAAACAGCAGGAAGAACACCTGCATGTTCCTTGGCCTAATATAAGTATTTTTGTAAGATTCAGGTTTTTTTTTAAGTACTTTTACAGCCTGTTTGAGTTTGTTGGTGAATGTTTTTGAGCTACAAATCTGCATGGAGAGAAATGTGTGGTGTCATGATCCCAGTGTGCCAGTCACCTGAGCGGCGCGGTTGCTATAGTGCTTACCTCATGACGAATGACCCCCGCTTCAGCACTTTCGTCCGTTGTTTGGACAGCCAGCAGTTGCTAGTTCAGTTTCCCACATAAAGGCACTGAGGTGGATTTTGTGATCGACTACATCAGCAAACAAAAGCATGGAAGTGGTTTTATGATGAAGCAGGTCACAGCAAACAAAGGTTGCTGTGAACTGCTGGCCAGGCAGTGTGGGCTGCATCGGTCTGTGTTAGCGCTTTTACTTATTTATTAAGAACATTTGTGAATTTACCAAAAGGGGGATTCAGGATGAAATTGTAGCACAGTTGTGACTTTTTGCCTTTTCATTTACTTCATCCGCCTGCCAACTGCTTACATCAGCATGTGACTTATATATCTAGGCCTCGACATCTGGATCAGATATGAAAGGGATGAATTGCAGCAGGTTGGTGTTTCAGTTTGGCACTTCCAACCAAACTATAAGATGAAACTCTTAGCTTAGATCAGAAATACACAATCATTAAAGGTGGGGTATGTAATTTATTTCAGAAACACTTTTTGTTATATTCCATGGAATGCTCTTAACATCCCGATAGCAATGAATATATGAAATGCTTTGACAATAAATACATAAAAAAAAATTCATCTGTTGAAGTCGTGGTGCTGTAAAATGCTTTACAGGCCCGGCTAAAGTAACTGGATGGCCTACCTGCCCGTCAGCCTTCCATCTGTGAACAAACTTATCTCGTGCCCTCATTGGCGTTTGTGTGTGTTGGAGGAGGGGCTCTGTAAGGAAGTGGCAGATCTTTTCCGGTTGTGTATTTTCAAATTCTAGCGCATTGGAGCTGGTTTCTCCGAAATTACCTACCCCACCTGTAAAGTAGACTTAACTGTCAGTTTTTCACACAGCATGTCACCTAAAGGGTTCTTTCAACCAAACTTAATGAAAGGCAGATGTATTTAATGTTGGCTGTCAGTTTAGCAGGATTCATTTTCTAATGACAAGCTGCACGCCTTAATCCACCTTTAATTGTCCACTGACTCTAATCGATAGCTTTGATTCAGAGACAGCTGATGCCGTGACTTGCTTCACATGTAGCTGATGTTATCTACTACTTTTATCTACTACTGTTGATTCAGTCTTTTGTCCAGAGGCCTTGCTGAATCACCAGTGCAGTGTTCCCCACAGCTGCTGCACATGATGTCCTAAACCAGTTCAGTGTTTCTCTCCTTCCTCTCCAAGGAACTGAGGGCAGCGGATGAATTATTTTAGTCTAAATGGACAATTGATGCTGCTGCTTTGAAGTATGTCGCTCAACAGTTCAGGGATTGTATTCGACCAAGTTAAACGTCTTACTGCTGCTGGTTTAACTTATACCATATCTTTACCATTTTAATATTTTTCATACAATCTGCTCACTTGCTTTCATCAATTCTTCTGTAATAAAAAAAGAAAAAGGTTTAATAACAAAACCACAATTATAGATTCACATGTTTGCAGAAGGCAATTAATCCCTTTCTTTGTCTTTTCTTTGATTTATGTCATTTCAAGTTTCAGATTTTTTAACAACATCTGTGTATTTTTCACTGTTATAGTTGGTCCTAAAACAGATGAGTGCAGGCTCCTGTTGCTTGAACTCAATCACACGTTGACTTTTGTGAGACCCTGGGAATTCAATGCTGTTGCATTATCACATACGAATTCAGTCTACTTGAACATACTGTACATGCAACAAGTTATTTGAGAAATGGCCTTATTAGATTTAAAACCACCAAAACAAGATCTTGAATGCTCATCCTTCTCATAGCTGATGACAGTAATGATTTATGAAATGTAAGGCTTTAACCTCCATGCCTCTGCATCTCATTGTTTCCCTCATGTCCTTGTTTGGTTAATAAATCACTGCGGAAGTTAACAATGCCTTCTGCATTTCAGCACCACAGAAATGAGTCTCGCCCATTTTGGGGGCTCGAAATGGGACTAAGACTCCCGCTGCTGCTTGTGTTGGAAATAGCTCATCAGAGAAAAAACTTTCATGAGGAGAAAACAATGCTTTCAGAGGAGCTCTTGAGGTTATTCTGACATTAAAAAGAAAAACTCAGCATATTGGTTTTCTTGTTGTGAGTTGAACAGTAAGTGTGCATTGAGTGAACCCAGACAATGCCAAAAGATTTGGGAGAAACAAGGAGGTGAATATAGGGGGAGGGTTACAATCATATAGAGGCTGCTGTGTAATAGAGTGGCTCCCATGACTTCCTCTGGCAACCTTTAACAGTCTGCAGCTGTGTTTCTCACAGAGGCATTACCAACCTTACTCTCCTTTAAGGCACAGAAAGAAAAAAACAGACGCCACTGTCATCCACTGCCAAACCACATATGTCAAAAATAAGTATGACACAAGTGAAAGGCAAGGAGAAAAATAGACAAGTGTCGGGAGAGGGAGAGACAAATGAGGGAAAAATCTGTGAATATGACAAAACAGGATTAATGTCCTTGTTGCATTCATCTGACCAGATGTGCAGCGGCTAACACGCATTTAGCCTCTGAGCTGAAATGTGGATTCTAGTTGAAACACACATTTTGTTTTAACAATGAAATGTACAAATGAAAGCAGGAGCTCTCTGGTTTCTTTAACAGGGTTACACTATCTGATAAGTCATCTTAACTTAGGTGGACACAAAATGCAGACACACACACCAACACATACATAAAACTGCACATTATTTAATTTCAATTAGTCTTAACTGTCTTAAACATAATGTTTGTACAGCCTTTAAAACATTATGAATAAGATCAGTAGTTGTGACTTCATATAGAGCAGGATTTTAACATGTTAATAATTAATATGGTCATTTACTTTGTTGATTGATGGCACATGGGATCCAAAGGTAACCTCATATATACTTATGACAATGTTTCACCACATCCAGTAGCTCTATCCTGTTTGTTGCTGTGTGTTCAGAACAAACACATTACATAAACAAATCACTGACAGCTTATCAGCAATATATTTACCTTGAGCTTTTGAAAATGTTATTATGAACACAAAAACAAAGTAAGCATGAATGAATGGTGTCCAACTAGGTCTGTCTGAATCAGGGGCGGACTGGGAGGAAAAAGTGGCCCGGGGATTAATTGACAGACAGGCCCACTTAAAGCGCGGCATGTATCGGCCGGCCGGCGACGAAAGTATGTTACTTAAAGGGGACCTATCATGCAAAATGCACTTTTCTACGTCTTTTATACATGAATATGTGTCCCCGGTGTTCCAGGTGTCAGAAAACACAACCCTCTCATATTTTCCTCCATACCCAAATCTCTTAAAAAGGGGCTGCAACGGATCTGATACAGACTGATCCAGATTTGAACACTTCTATGACGTCACAGAAGTGGCGCTACGGCTATTGGGCCAACTCCACCAATCAGGAGGAGACAGCCACGGACATTGCCGTTTGAAAGCGCTTGAGACGCTGTAGTACATATGCCAGGCCTTTAAATGGTGCTGTTCTCACAGAATCAGCCCATGAAAAGACAGTGTTACATTGAGCGAAATGAAGAATGGCTAAAATGCATGATCTGTTTGGTATTTTGAAAAATAAAAAGTATAAATATGCCTTATATAGGTATAGTCCTACACTATATTATTCAAATATAGCATGATAGGTCCACTTTAACAAAAAAACCTATGCATTTAATGTTATTTTGGACCATTATTCATATAGTAATCACATTACCTGAGCCCTTGAGTTGCCTAGAGCAAAATAGTTACAGCATATATTTATTCATTTGAATGTAAACAGATCATTGATGCAATAACATTTGGACCCAATTTGCCTGACTTGACGCATGGAATGAAACATGGGCGNATTGGCCTGCAAATTCCCCTGACCTGAACCCCATAGAGAATATGTGGGGTATTGTGAAGAAGAAGCTGAAAGACACCAGACCCAACAATGCTAATGAGCTAAAGGCCGCTATTGAAGCATCCTGGGCATCCATAACACCTCAGCAATGCCACAGGCTGATTGCCTCCATGCCACGCCGCATTGATGCAGTAATCCGTGCAAAAGGATTCCCAACCAAGTACTGAGTGCATTAATGGACATTTTCAAATGTTTGATTGTGTTTTGCTGTTATAAATCTTTTTTTTTACTTGGTCTGAGGAACTATTCTAATTTTTTGAAATAGGATTTTTGAGTTTTCTTAAGCTGTATGCCATAATCAGCAATATTAAAATAATAAAAGCCTTGCAATATTTCAGTTGATTTGTAATGAATCCAGAATGTATGACATTTTTGTTTTTTTAATTGCATTACAGAAAATAAAGAACTTTATCACAATATTCTAATTTTCTGAGACAGTCCTGTACATTGTATTTATCGAAAAAAGTGAAAAGTAAAGCAGCATGTTAATCGGTCCTGCTCTAAAACAGAAAAGATAAATGTTCTCATAAGAACCAGCATGCAAATCAAAAAGGAGGATTGTATCCATTGGAAAGGCAGCTTCAAGTAACCTTTGCAGAGCAGAGAGAAGCATAACGAATTAACGAATCTTTTTGCACTGCACTTACTCTTATCAATCTGTGATTAAAGTTATCACAAAGCAACAAAATGTAGCCGATTCTGTGGCTAAACTGTGGACACTAGGGAACAGATTTGGAGCTGAATGTGAAATAGAAGAATAGATTTGGAATAACTATTGAAAAAAAGAGTGTGGAGAACACCACAGAGCATTTGTCCCGACCTGGCGTTGATATCGTCCCCTGAGAGCCCCTCCCTGCCTTATTGCAGTGACTCATTTCCCTGAAAAGGAAATGGCTCTCAGGCTTGCAGACTCACAGCGTCTGTAAATGCTTCAGACCACTGCAGTAGCTCCCCTTATGGGACATAAGGGTGTGACTGACCATACGCCAGCTTCAATCAGGAGGAAAAGCTATTCTTTGTGTTCCGCAGGAAAAAGTATGGATTGTATACAGAGGCTTTTACAAAGGCTGTGTATCGAGAACGGGAACAATGCTCATATAAGCACAAGCTTCCCTGAAGGACATTTGTTAGTCAAAGTGGATTATGAGAGGAGGGAGTGTGTCACTTTTTATGGGAAGTGACACACACAATAATCCTGTCACTCAATGCTTTATTTCTACAATATTGACTGATCTTAATTAAAAATGAACTTTAGAAATATAGAACTAAAGCAAATATTTGACAGCTTGAAAACAGTTAGATGACAATGTTTTCTGTGTCTCTGTGCCAGAGCACTTTTTACAACTGACTTTTCTTACATTCTTGCGAATAATTAATTATTTTCAAAAATTTATTGAGAAGAATAATAAGACGGGAAGAAGGGGGAAACAGCAAGCATGACTTTGGATTTTGTTATCCAAATATAACAAACCACCAGCAACTCCAAAGCTCACTAATAAATATATTTAGAAAAAAGTAATGTGAAATCTTGCTCGATTGATTCCTACAAAAATATATATAAAAAGTGTGAAGGAATATTTTGCCAGTGTCAGTGCCCTCTTTGAGTAATTCTTAGTGCTAAGCTAAGGGTTCAAAGTTACAGCCATAAGAACAGCATCTTAATTTGATTATTTTACTCAACAGCTTAAAAGAGGCAATGTTACAAACAGAGACAGAATATCTGGTAATGTTTTGTTGTGACCACGACTGTATATATAGGTTTTGACGTAATAGTTGGAGAGAAGTCTGCAAACCTTCTTTCTGATGACTCCTGATGCCAAACCCAAAAATAACTTTCCTTTTGAGAAGCAAAATATCCTAAAATAGACATTTTTACAAAACAGCACGTCACTGTCGGGATCAAGTTACATTTAACCCATAATAATCTCCACTTTTCTGGAATAGAACAATTAGTCTCAGTATTTCTTTTAACAACAGATGACGCACTGACGCTTGCTGCTGACTCAAGCCCATGTGAACTTGGCTGCTGAAGCTTCATAAGTGCAACACACTGCAGCTAAAGCACACAGTAAGTGAGGCTGGAGGGAACAGGAAAGCAGAGATTATTGAGCGCTGCTGTTACGTCTGCACAGAACAGACCAAGGCTTTGTACACTGGCAACTGCACTCTCATCTGCATCATATACACAGCATGGGGAGGAAGGAGAAAGAAGAAAGTGTAAAAATACATGGGAATAAAATGTGGCAAGAGAAGGCAAAAGAGAAGGGGACTGGAAAAGTATTACTCCAAGTCATTTTAAGTCCAGACCTAATAATAGTTATTTATATTTTCTGGTAATCTAGCATGGCCTGGTTACTCCAGACAGTTGGCGGGAGTTACATTTTTCTCAATAAAACTGTAAGGAGTGAAAGTGGTGGGAGAGAAAAATCCTCCTAAACCAACCAAAGGGCAGTTCAGGAAACTGAGGAGAGGAGAGACGTTTAAGAAAAGTATAAAGTAATGAGAAGAATACATTTACTATGAATCAACCTGAGCCCCTTTACAATTGTCTTTCATAACCAAATAATTATATATGAGGTTTTTTTTTTTGTGTGACACTAGGGACGGCAAAGTTGATCATCCTGCGATTTGGTCCATGATGAAATATCTCAGCTACTGTGTAAAGATTTTTTTGTACATTCATGATCACCAGAAGAAGAATCCATACTGAATTCCTATAGCATCACCGCAGGTCAAAGTTAAAAAACGCTTGCACGGTCGTACTCTTGTCTTCTGCACATTTTGAAAACTAACCATAAGCATGTTAGCATTGTCATTTCGAAAATGTTAGCATGAATAATGCTAACATAAATCTCAAAGTAAAGCTATGTCTAAGTACAACTTCAGATACATAATTCTCAAGAAAACCGTCAACATTAAGTATTGTTAATCTATAATGATACTTGACACTCGATTTGTTTGAATGCCTTATATTCCTTTAAAATGGCCACCAGGCTTAAACTTAAAAAGCTGTATCTCTCAGGCTGAGTATAAAAACATTACAGTTTCGAAGGAGAGGGAAACAAGTGAAACGATAGAAGAAGTTTTTTGTAAGAGATGATTACATTTAATTTCCTAATAAACAAAACCAATGTGGCCACATTAAGCACAACAGTCCTATAGTGAGCCTACTTACACTCTTCACTCTCCACAGCAGCGTAGTTTCCTGCTTCCTTGAAAGTGATATTTCCCAGGTGCAGGACTCCGGCCACAATCTGAAGCACCATGGAGTTGTTCTCCGATGAGATGCCAATCACATCCATTGCATGCTGGGAAAAGCAAAAGGAAAATATCATGCTAAATTAGGTCTTCAGTGTGGGTTTACTCGCTCCCCTGGCACCTAGCTCATGTCCTCTAATTACTCCTGTTGCGGTCTCACTGGTAAACAAAACCAGGAGGAGATCATTGGAAAAGAAAACAAAAGAGAACTGGTAGGGAGAGGGAGGAATGTTAAAAGAAGGAGTCACATGAACGCTGGTATGAGAATAATAGACACTCACAACACCACTGAAGGTGTTAAATTATTGCCAGAAGGGACCGTACCGTGGTCTCCTGGAAGTCACTCTTGTCGTTGATGTCGTCCACTTTGTAGGAACCGGACTGATTGAGGTAAGTGTAGTAATCTAAGCTTGTGATTCCCAGGGTGCCCTTCTGCTCTGCAGTGGCTCCTTCTATCAACTGTAAAGCATAAACAAATAGAGTATTGAGGGCAGATTGTGCACAAAGTCTGTTTGTATTATCATTTTAATACTTTTTCAGGCTTTTATTTATACACTGTGCTCCACTTTTCATGTGAAGAAAACTGTACTAGTAAAAATTAACCATCTCTTCCCTGGACCAATTCCCAGTGAAAACAGATTGACCCTGTTGCTGCAGCCAAATGGCACGTCTAACCCAACGTGTCCTCAAATCCCCTCGCAGACCCTCTTCACGAGCCATATGTGTCCGCAGCACAAATAATAAGCCTCACCTGGTAGAATATATGGAAACTCCTCTCTCCAGGATTCCTCATGACGACACGTGACTTCTCCAGGAGAAAGTTGGAGATTTTCCCCCCGTCTGGCTCTCCACCGGAACTGAACTGGATCTCAAAGTATTTCCCCTGATGGATCAAAGCATGTTTTTATTTTTCCCGTATTGGAGTAGGCCGCAATAAAACTCAAAGCCAGAGCTATAAGGTCTGAAATACTGGCACCTGGCTGTTATACGGTTGATAGTTGTGTGTGTGTGTGTCTGTGTGTGTGTGTGTGTGTGTGTGTGTGTGTGTGTGTGTGTGTGTGTGTGTGTGTGTGTGTATAAAAATCCGATCCTTTCTTTTTGTCTCGCTCTCTTCTCCAGGCAAGCCTGTAATATAATATCTGTTCCAGGCCTAATAGTGAACAGACACACTATTTATTGAAAGACAGTACTTTAGGAGCTGTGATTTAAGGCCAGGAGTGCCAAACCAAAGTAATTTCTACAAAATTGGATCTGAAAACATCACGACTACTGAGACAATGCTGCATTGTATGCTAATCTGAACACTTAAATGTCCTTAAATGAGCTTTGCCTTTTCCAATGTTCAGCCCTTATTGACCCAGATCCTTTGTAAGCAGGGCAGGATGTAACTCAGTGGCTCTGCATGCATGTTTTTCGGTAAAATATGTCCTTACAGCACAGCACTGGTTAACCAGGACACACATGAGGTTTGCTTCCCCATGCACTTAAACAGGAAAGCCGTTACTGCAAATCTTTATTTTCAAAAGTCTCCGCTTAGACCCAAAGGTGCGCCACAAAAAAGTTGAGTCCTCAAATTATTCTGGGGTAAGTACTACCTACTGCATGTATTTATCTCTGAGCAACACAGTTTAGGATATTCAGGCAGTGGGTGATTCCAATTTTGTGTTTGTTTCCCAGAGTTGACCTCACATACACTGCAAATCCGGTTTGGCACATACACATGCAAAATAGGGAGGCTGACCTTTTTATGTTGCCTGTTAACACTCTTTGAAATGGATATCCATATGCTTTTTTTGGTTAATACCAACCAGTTATGAATTGAGCTGAAATGCAAGGCATTCTGACTTACAAAAAGTGGAAAAACTCAGGAATAAAAGCCTTACAAATCTGCTGGAGTTGTTGTTCCTCACGGTCTTGGCGTTGCCGAAGGCCTCTAGCAACGGGTTGGACTGCAGGATGATGTCTTTGACATGCTGCAAGGAAACAGAAGCAAAAAGCCTTTAGCTACATCACAGACAGCAGGTAGGGATACCATACACGCGCACGTGCACACGTGCGCGTGTACACACACACACACACACACACACACACACACACACACACACACACACACACACACACACACACACACACACACAATGTTTCCTGTGAGCCATATGTACGTCAGAAACACATGAGCTTTAAAACGGTCCAGCAGACAGAGCTATTCCGACTTCCTTTATTGTACACAGAAGTTGAATGGAAGTTATTTCTTGGAATTGTTTGCATTTCTAAATGTAGTCCTGTATGAAAGGAAAAAATAAGCACTGCCCTTGGGAGTTTATTTATGGAGAACTATACGGTTATTAATTTACCAATTCATCATATTTTACTTCTCCAAAGCAGAAGAGTGTCATCCAACACTAGTTTGACAAAATGTGTACTTGATTTATTTGTGGAGCTTCCGAACAAACTGAATCCTAGGGATATCATCTCAAAGTGAAGACACATTTTGAATATGGTGTCCATATGTCTATAAAACAGTCCCATTTGAATTAATTATCATTATTGATAGATATGATTAGCTTTTGTGATGATGACAATGCTCAGACAGATGAACATACATGTTGCTGACAGGAAGTTTTTATCTATTCAAAAGTATTCTTGCACTCACACCCACACACACCATAAACAGGTTGCATAAGAATGCACGTGATGAACTAAGCATACCGCACAATATGTACAAAATGTGAAAGAGAAATGATGCTGAACAGGAGCTGGAAGAGGTCGAGACATACATGTGTGTGTGTGTGTGTGTGTGTGTGTGTGTGTGTGTGTGTGTGTGTGTGTGTGTGTGTGTGTGTGTGTGTGTGTGTGTGTGTGTGTGTGTGGGTTTGTTTTAGTGTGTGTGTGCGTGTATGCTGTAAAGGCCACATTTGTTTAAACAAACAACATCAAGACAGTTATTTTCATAACTAGGGTTAGGGTATACATTTACACTAACTGGCATCATGGGACTTAGTCAGTCTGTCAGCTCGACGGATACATTTAAAGCCTGAGGATGACTTCTTATGTCCCTTGGTGGAAGAAGCTCTGAGTGGATTAAATATAAAAATCCCAGTGCCATCATCTTGCAGGCATTTCCTCATCAAACTTTAGATCTTTATCGAGCTTAGGAACAGGACATCTGCTGGTTAGAGGGACTGCCAGATGGCTGAAGGGGGTTGGGAGAATAAGAGGCTGCTGATGGGCTGATAATGGGGAATAAAGAGGAGATCTGGCTCTAAGGAGAGGAATGAGTGCAGGAATGAAGCTGCAACAGGTTGTTTGTTTTCATTCAAGTCAGCAGTGGTGTTAAGGACTTGGCTCAATTTGTGAATGACTCGTTAAGTTGGCCCGGGCAAAAAAAAGATAAAAGATGATTATGATATGTATATAGAAGGTTACCTTTTAATTTGAAAATGCTACATATGAATTTCCTCTTTGTCACAAATATATGTTAACACTAGTTATAATGATAGAAGAGGCATCTGTGCATTCCAACCTTTTCCAAAAGAAAAAACCATATCAAGTGAATATTAAAGAGAAGATGCTTTTCCCAGGATTGTACTTTTTATTCTTGTGAGGTCTTTATACTTAATTTTTATGAGATTTAAATATTTTCATTTGAATATTATTTCAGAACATAACATTGAGCATCAATAATGACAATCATAAACTCCTTTAAATAAATGTAGTCCTGCCAAGTTGTCATTTCATCTAGACTCCTCAATGTCTCTATTACATACTGTCCTCAAAGACAAGCAGCAGCTCACCTGTACTTTGGGTCCGCCCCCTGACACTTTGGAGATGTAGCCCATGATATATTTGGCTGCCACGGTCTTCCCTGCACCGCTCTCTCCGCTGAAAAACACATTTAAGCACATGTTTTCACGTACAGTACATGCAATCCAAGCTTTTAAAGTCACATTTAAATCCACCCAATGAAAAAACTGATAGCATGTGACACCTGACTTTATGCTCAAACGTTACGTTTATAGATCCAGGGGCGGACTGGCCATTGGGAATACCGGGAGTTTTCCCGGTGGGCCGGTGCTGTGCGTGGGCCGGAGGGCCTAAAATAACTTTTTTTTTTTCTTTGCCTAAATCCTACCGGCCCACATTTGTAAGTGTTCCGGCCACTCCCTTTTTTTTTTTTTTTTTGCTTACCTAAATCCTACCGGCCCACATTTGTAAGTGTTCCGGCCACTCCCTGGAGGGGTGTTTGATAGGCTATCTATGTTCTATCTATTAGATAGTTTCACTTTCACACATCAGGCCCGTAGCAGCTGTCACTGCAGTGAACGATCAGGAGTGAGTGACTGAGAGACCTAGCTGGCAGTTGCTTACAGATGGATAAACAAGTAGGATAGAAAAGGGGGAAGTGACGTCTGACTCAGAGGTCGTGCGGCTGTGGAGAAGAACATGTTGCCCACATTCTGTTACTGAGATTAGGCTAGTTAGCGAGCAGGTTTATTGTTTTGGGTGCAGTCACTTTTGCCTCCACTTGCTGTTCAAATAAATGTTGAAAGAAAAAGTAAATCTGTTTACAATTCTGTTTCATATGGGTGTTGAGAGATGTATCCATAGATTTAGTCCCTAATTTTGCTCTCAAAGTGCACCAGATTGATGCATTTAACTTCAACATTTCAAAACAAATCTTCCTGGGGGAGCATGCCCCCGGGTCCCCCTAGAGGAGGTGAGGTCCACCACCTGCCCACACCCCCTGTTAAATTGTCTCACCCACATTGAGGATGCTTCCTACGCCCATGTTTCATTCCATGCGTCAAGTCAGGCAAATTGGGTCCAAATGTTATTGCATCAATGATCTGTTTACATTCAAATGAATAAATATATGCTGTAACTATTTTGCTCTAGGCAACTCAAGGGCTCAGGTAATGTGATTACTATATGAATAATGGTCCAAAACAACATAAAATGCATAGGGTTTTTTGTTAAGTAACATACTTTCGTCGCCGGCCGGCCGATACATGCCGCGCATTAAGTGGGCCTGTCTGTCAATTAATCCCCGGGCCACTTTTTCCCCCTGGATCCCAATGGGGGACATTTTTGTGTTGCAGCAGCATAAAAAGACATAGCATTGTACAATAAAAATTTAAAAGACTAGATATATATATATATATATAATGTATAGATATAGAACAAATAAATAGATCATCGTCAGCGCTCACAAAAAGGTTTCAAGATTCAATGCTTTATTTTCATGTGCACAGTAGCGACAGTGTAGGTATGGCAATGAAAAACTCAAGTCACAGCTTAGGCTCCTCCAACAGTGCAACATGAATATATACAGGACATAGAACANTGCATGCTACAGCGCATAACATACATTGTATTTATCAAAAAAAGTGAAAAACATTTATCTTTTCTGTTTTAGAGCAGGACCGATTAACATGCTGCTTTACTTTTCACTTTTTTTGATAAATACAATGTATGTTATGCGCTGTAGCATGCAGTTATTCCACTTTGTAAGTGTTTGGTTAACAGAGCAGTCTGACAAAGAAGACAAATACGGTCAGCATAATTCTCATCTTTATCTATTTACACGTTTATTTATACTCTGTGTCTTCTATGTCTTTGAACAGTTCTAGCCTTTCCTGCGTTTCTGCTTGGAATTGACCAGAACCGTCTAAAGGAGAAACTGACGAGCAGGAAGATGGACAGCAAGTGGGGAAACGCAATTGAGTCCATCGACGTGACGCTGAACGTGGAGCAGGCGTGCTACACACGGGACGCCCTGTCTAAAGCTCTGCATTCACGGGTCTTTGACTTCCTGGTCGAGGTATGATTGCATTATTGAACGGTTTTAGAGTGTCCTTATGTCACAATGCTTTGATCACCTATAATAAAGCTTTATTTTAATACTACAAACCTTTTATTTGCAGTCCATCAACAAAGCCATGGTGAAAGATCATAAGGACTTTAACATCGGAGTGTTGGACATTTACGGATTTGAAATCTTCCAGGTAAGTGTTTTGGGCCTTTTTGCGGTCTGGCACATGATAAGTGGAATTTAAACGTGCAGCAACACATAAATTAGATGAACAGGTATTAACTTTGAGCATTTGAACAGATTAAACACAGAGGATAAGACTAACCTATAAAGTATTTGGATTAAGGTCTATCTCCTGATTGAGACAGCAGACCTCCTCATGCTTTTCTAATCTGATTACTGGTTTGTTTGCTTAACGAGAAGACCTGGACTTGTGTATAGGATCAGACTAACTGAACGGAAGTGTTTTTGTATTGTTGTTATAATAAAAGCTCTGGATTCCTATTATCCAGTACAGGTACTTAAAAGACACCTGTACTCATACTCAGTTAAATTATTCTCAATGTTATTAACTGTGTCGTCTCCTCCTCAGAAAAATGGCTTTGAACAGTTCTGCATCAACTTTGTGAATGAGAAACTGCAGCAGATATTCATCGAGCTGACACTGAAGGCCGAGCAGGTGAACTTCCTCCACATTGTTTTTTATTACTGCCTCATTAAATGTTTTATATTCCGACTCTAAACTCTGCTAATGTCTCTTTTTGTAGGAGGAGTACGTGCAGGAGGGCATCAAATGGACTCAGATTGAGTACTTCAATAACAAGATCGTCTGTGATCTCATCGAGAGCAAAGTGAATACAACATTATATATATTTATATATTTTTGTATAGATCTTTTAAGATGAATTGGTTAATCAAGACCAAGATTGTAGAGAAACCTTATTATATAAATAGTTATAAATTGCAGTTTCTGATCATTGATACGTACACAAACCACATTTTCAATCACTTACAAATCAACATTTAAAGATTTGATAGTGAGTAGTCTCTTTAAATAACAAACGGGACTAAATATTCCCCTTTTTTTAGAGTTAATAAACAAGATGTTATTGATATGTTGTTTAGGTGAAAACAACACAACAAAATACAATCACTAAAAAATTGAATACGAACTTAAATAGTGAACATTTGTCAGTTTTATTGGCCTCACATTGTAAACTGAATTGAAAGGGCCTGCTAGTTTGGTGCCATGATTTATCTGTCCCACTGAGAGGTTTAATCCATGAAATTTACAACAAGGGCTTTAAAACAAGCCTCCATGTGAGAGGAGTCGGGAGTCTGTATCAGTGCCTGACACTTCAGCTCTTTACACCAGACCCACTTTAATCCAGTGACAACTTTACATGTGTACTTTACCAGAGGCCTGTGTTCACTGAGTTAGTGACACGGTGGCCACTGTGCAAACTGAGGGCCATTGATCAACTGAGGACATAATGGAGCCAAGTAGGGCAGTGAGAGAGAGAGCTGCTCCACTGTTATACATTGACAGCCTTTATAGCTTTCACATCTCCTTTATGTGTTATCATGACGCATCTCATATGAAGATTTCAAGATCATTCGAAGATTTCGAATAATCAATGGTTTGGTCATACAATTAAAAATAATTAAAATTACAATTTCCAGGCGCCGTCCTTTTCATCATAAGTATTTTACGAATATGTCTATTAAATATTATAAAAAACAAAGAAACAGTAGAGTGGAGAAGCTTGAACAACTGAGCTTTTACCATTTTTTGATTGATAATTATATGTTGCTGATTTTTTGTTGTTGTAGGAAAAGATTTAAAAAAAGAAATCCAGGTTTACTACAGATAACACATACAGAGTGTTTATTTCAACAGATCGAATTAACAGATAAATAAAATTGCAAAATATAAAATCCACGCTTGCTGCTTGTTGGTGAGTTTCAGAGCCAGTGTTGATACTAATGTAAAATATTCCCCTTGTGACCCCAGAGTCCCCCTGGCATCATGTGCATCCTGGACGATGTGTGTGCCACCATGCATGCGGTGGGCGAGGGAGCGGACCAGACCATGCTGCAGAAGCTCCGAATGCAGATCAACACACATGAACACTTCAACAGCTGGAACCAGGGCTTCATCATCCACCACTACGCTGGCAAGGTCAGTCTGAGCAGGAAATATATTTTCAGGGGGGGAGGGTATGTCTGTTTGTCCACTCACCCTGACAACTCACACTACTGGTTTTTGAAAAGCAGCCCTCATAAAGGTTTGGACAAAAACATTGGTGAAATGTGGTGAAAGATTCTCTTACAAACTTGCTAGAGAAAAATGTTGATTCACAAAACAGAAAGATTACGACACTCAGTATAAGGTTTAAAGAAAACTCCATGCACTTGTCTTCGCCATCGTATAACTGTAATATGTTAAGCACACAGTCCTGACAGCAAATTCTGGAAATAGAGAGTTATTAAAATGCCATTTTTATGGTGTTGTATGATCTGTCATAAATATCAGTTAAGCAGCTGGTAATTTAATCCTGGAGCCGGTGTCGTCATCTTCGACCTTCTACTTTTTTACCATCTAAGCTAACACCACCTTTTCTCTCCTCTCTTACCAATTATGTCTGTACACTCTTATGTAACATTGTCTAACACAACTTACATGTTAACCGGCCTTATTCACCTCATACATAACAGCTCACCAGGGTTTTTTCGGCATATATTTTTGATTCTGGTGGTCTGGGCCGAGGTTGTCTCGTGTCATTCTCCAGATGTGTGAAGGCCTCAGCCTGGCACACATGCTGCAGGCTTAATGAGCCGTGCCATAAAGACTTGAGGGGCTCCCATGACCGGGCTCAAAACATTCCTCCAGTCTCCGGCTACAGTACAGCAGAAATAACACCGTTTAATTTATACACTTTTAAAACTGCTGCTGGTTTTATAAGGAAGCTTATCCTAGGGAGGTGTAAAGCTTGGATCGGCAGCCCTTCATTTTCTTCTCCCATAAAATTCAAGCCGTTAATTTCAGCCAGAATATTAGTTACAATATTTTATTTCACACAAGTGTCATCTTTCATTTAGTCTGGGGGTTTAACCTTGTCTTCTTTGATGGTTTGACTCTTCAGAAATGCCTCTGTGTCTCTCCTCCAGGTGTCCTACGATGCAGAGGGTTTCTGCGAGAGGAACCGAGACGTCCTTTTTAATGACCTCATTGAACTGATGCAGAGCAGCGAAATGTAAGTAGCTCTGCTTTGCACATTGCCCCGACATGTGGTGAGGATTCATTTTGAGTGCTCCCTTCTATTGTGATGCACATGGTTATAATTCAATACATCTGAAAGAGGGTTTCGCAGAAGTGTGCTGGCCGGGTTGTGTTGTGCCCTCTGCCCTGAGTCACGTCTGGCTGTGTTCCAGATATGTGGCTTCTAGGGTCTTCCCAGTCTGGCCTCCCAAGTGCAGTCTCTCTGCGGGACTCTATAGGGGAGTCTGATCCCCCCTGTGTTTTGGTTTCTTGGGCTTTCTTTGTGTCAAAGTAGCCATCTGTGCATGTAGCCCGCATTGTCTGTGTAACCCCTGCAGGCCTCAGACGCTCGCTCCCTTTGTGTGCACATTGTGTGAGGCACAAAAGGAGGTTATATGAAATCCTATTCAGACACGCGCTGGAAAATATATATTCATGCACTTTACAACACTTGCAGGCACACAAATATATAGTACACACACACATAGATAAAAGGCTTTGGCTAAGTCACACATAAAGGAAAAAGGAAGGAAGCAGTCTTCATTCCTTAGAGCAGCAGGAGTGAGGAGAGAAGAAAGGAGTGACCAGTATTGTCAGCTGCACGGCATTAGCAGACCTCTCTTTGTACTCACAACCTTCAGATCCTTTTCTTCTGTGAGACAGAAGTTTAAAACCAAACAAATACCAGTGTTGCAGAAAGCCAGAAAGAGGATGGAATTCAAAAAATTACTAACATGAAAATATCACACTGTGAGAATACTGTACTAATAAACATCAAAGGCGGCAACATACAGTAAGCACTTTGAAATAAATCAGATGTTTAGCAGCAGTGTGTGTCACTGTTAGGTCAGGCCTGACAGTCGCCACATTGAGCTTTGAGTTTTCAAAGGAAAAAAAACTGTCAGAGTTAAAAAAGCAGCCAAATATTCGGTGCTTGAATGACAGATGTGCGGATCACAAAAGGATCAGTGTCTATGATCATAACTTCACATCATCTTTCAGTTATCAGATAATCAAGGCAAGCCTTTTCAATGTGTAGCCTTTACATAAGTCGTTAAAAGTGTTGGTTTTACTGACTAACTGCCTAGAAAAACTACAAGATGTCATGGTTAATTTTTAATAGCTCTTGAGTGAAACATTGTTGTCATTCATTCTCAACAAGGAGTAGCTCTTTTCCATAATGAAGACACGTGCTTACACACAAGCATATGAGCCAATCAAAATGGATAAGAAATGCAAATAAATTCATGAATGGCAACAATGTGGCTCAGTTCATAGCTGCAGGGTTTTAAATGCACCTTTTTCTCAGTAAAAGCACATTCCTTTCTTTTACAGCTGTATATCTATAGTTCTATGAAAAAGGACAAATGACCTTGTCTTCAGTTTAGAGAAACCTGAGGAGATGGAAACTTCACAAATATCCTCTACATTCTGACCAGCAGCAACACGTCATAGTGTAGTCATGATGTTATAAAACACCACAGCTGTAGGGTGAATTTAGGATAAACCAAAATGTTATTAGTTGAAATCCAAATAAACCGGAACCCTCAGGAAACATAAACTCATATTGGCCCCTTTTTGAAAAAATGTTTTTGTTTTTGTTTAAGTCCTATTTCAATCAGAATGAACCAATCATGAATTCTGCCCAGCCTCAGATAATAGCTTACATTCCTCTAAGGAGAAGTGGCCTTGGTGGGATTTGCTCCACAGAGAGGTGTTTGTACAAATGCACCACAGTTTGCGAACACACACACAAACACACACACACACACACACACACACACACACACACACACACACACACACACACACACACACACACACACACACACACACTTTCAAACACAGACA